GTCGACGCAGGACATCCCGCCAAACTATTGTAACTAGCTGTGCCAGAGCTTGGTAAAACATTACCGCCCGCTAATCTGAACGGTTCCGTCCATTCGGAGAAATCGTAATCAGCCTGTAACATCCGGATATCAATAGTAAGTGTTGCAAATTTTATTTGAATAATTGTCCCCGTAAATATATTATGAAAAAAATGTTGCTGTTACCTGAAATCCGTATTCAACAAATACGATATTAGTAGGAATATTGTGAAACTCGGATTTGGAATGTAAACTATTGGAACATAAAAGTAGAGTCGTGTTCGAGCTTAAATTGAGGATATGCCAGAGTTCTTGAAGGCACGAGTAAGACTTGAATACTTCCGACATGTCCGTTTCGAGCGTATCGTTAACGGATACGCTCAAGTCAAAACTGTCAGCTTGCACCAACAAAGTGGTTAATCGTGGGCCTACGTGAACATAATTTAAGCTAGGGAATACTGCGAGCAAATCTTGAAAGATAGGCCACATTTGCATCAGGTGATGTTGGCTGACATTAGAATCGACGTCCAATGTTGGGACTATATCTAAATGGCGATCCCTGGAAATATTAATTTCCAAATATTACATAACATACAAAAATTTTAATCTATTTTCACTCAAAACACAGACTATATAATATATGTAAAAAGACCGCTAGTTATTAAAAATAAATGAAAGTAGAACAGTGTAAAATGATAGAAATAATAGAAAATCTCTCATTTGAAAATAATAGATCCTTAGAATTATAAACGTGTAATTGTACCTGCAATATCTATCTAGAGTCACCATCTCGGACTTGGAGTAGCAAAGCTGCCAGTCGCAATTTTGTACAAGTCTGGAGTAGAGGTGCAAATGTGAGATTTTAAATGACGACAATAGATCAATAATGTGTAAAAGGTATTCCAAGGTCGGTACGCGTCCTCTGGGAGAGATATCCAAGAGTATACCGCGATGAACGAATCTCGGCTCATCTTTGATAAAGACAGGTTCTATCTCGCACACTTCCGATCTACTCTGATTCTTACTCAGACGCAGAATCTGCACGAATGTGCAGACCGCGTAATGCAA